TTCTTGATCATTGTCTTCGGTCCACCCTCTCTGGGGCACCTGGTGCTGGCTGCTGTCGACAGACAGGATACTGGGATAGATGGATCTTTGGTCTGACCCAGTACGGCCGTTCTTATGTTCTTATGTTCTTATGTTCTTATTCCTAGTGTCAGATGCAGCTCTAGTGAGGCAGGAGCAGAGGAGCTTTAAACCCCAGAGGGAAACTCCCCTACTGCAGCCTCCACTCCCACCCTCGGACACAAAGGGGAAGGTGCGGTACGTGGGAAAGCTGCCTAACACCACTACATATTTTTTCCTTTTGTTTTACCAAGATCAGACTAACACGGCTACCTCTCTATTACTATTTAACACCAAAGGCTGTGTCTAGACTGCATCCCTTTTCCATAAAAGAAATGCAAATTAGACACATCGCAATTGCAAATGAAGCGGAGATTTAAATCCCCCCGCTTCATTTGCATAAACATGGCTGCCGCTTTTTTCCGGCTGCATCCCTTTTCCATAAAAGAAATGCAAATTAGACACATCGCAATTGCAAATGAAGTGGGGATTTAAATCCCCCCGCTTCATTTGCATAAAAAAGCGCCAGTATAGACACGGATCTTTCGGAAAATAAAGCCTTTAAATGAGGATAAGGGAACTTCAGAGTTCTTCAAGGCAGCCCAAGCTCAATGGGAAGCAGCGTGTCGCTGGCTTCTGGCCTGGCCTGGCCCGGGGCAGGGCCTAGAGGGGAAGAAGATCTGGGATGGGGCCTTAGGGAGGGCCCAGAACAAGGAAAAAGCAGGTGCCCCAAGGAGGCGTTGTGCTTATCAGCTGCCCTGACACACAGCACAGCTCCTGCCTGCAAATCTCCTTGACTGCCAAACCGCTGCCATTTGGGGAAGGGGTCAACATTGCCCCCTCCCTGCAACCTGTGCCCATATTAAGTGTGTGCGTGTGGGGCCCTTGTCCTTTTGATCCACTGCCCCTGGGTCTCCCCACTGATCCCTGGCTTAGATTTAGGGCTATGCGCACCATGGTAGCTGTGGGTTTGGTTGGTAACTTTAGTTACAATCCCAGGAAGATGTTTTCACAGGAATTTTCTCATCATTTAAAGACAATCTCCACCTGCAAACTCACCCTGTCTGAAAGCTCCCAGGGATTTTCCTCTTGCTCTCTCCAGTGCAGAGGGCAGAGTGTCTGGTGGGGGAAGGGATAAGAGAGGTGAGACTTCAGAAGTCCATATTGCCAACGACATCCCCAATTTTAACACTCAGACCTGGGTTTTCATTATAGCAGAGACACACTCAAGTATTTAATATACAAAGGTCTGAAGCCTCCTACTTCCTAGCTCATTCAGGCCTCTCCCAGCAATGGAACCAATGTCCCTGCAGCCTCACACCTCCCCTAGGACAATCTGTGAAGAGATTCACTTTCCCCTCCCACTCTTCAGACTCCACTGGGTTTGGCTCATTCACTTACTGCCTCTTGTCGTAGCCTAGGCCCGGATCCTGCAAAGATTTTGCCATAAAAGTAACTTCACCCATTTTGGTCCCTTTGACACCAATGGGATGTTCAGAGTTGGTGAAATCCTGGCTCTGTGAGTTGTGGGGTCTGTGTACTCAAGTGTCTCTCCAGAGAGCAGCACAATGGTGCCTCATCCTCCACGTGCAGCAATAGGAATAACAATAAAATCATTTTATCCCTGTGGAAACTGAGGCAGGGGGAGGTTGGCTCCATGGACCAGATTCACCCAGTACCGGCCAAAGCAGGGCGGGGTGGCCATTTGTGACCCGGCTGGTCAGTGGCTGCAGGGGCCTCTGCTGAGCCTGGCTCAGGCTCAGGCTGTACTGACAACAGCCAGTGTCACATCCCTGTTACAATGGCCCCATGTGCCTGGGCCAGAGAGCAGGGAGTCAGTGGCCCAGCCTTACCCTGCCCATGACCCTCTGTCCCTCTTGCACCCCTGCCTCTTACCCTGCCCTCTCCAGCCTTTTCAGGGATGCATCTTGGGCCTGCAGCTGCTGGGAAGGAGGCACAAGAGGCTCCTGTGCTGGATGGACCCCTCGCCTTGGGGGAGGGGCTTTCTCCTTCCCTGCAGCCCCTTGGCCCAGGCTCAGGACTAGACGGGACAGAGCTCAGTGAGGAGCTGGGCCTACCTCTAACAAATTGCCTTTAATTGAGGGGCTAGACCTTAGGTGCTGACCTTTAAGTCCCAGGGCCTGGTTCTCGGAGGGGCTGGGCCCCTGCAGCTCCCACTGACTCCACCTGCCGCTGTGGAGGCTGCCCAGCCCTGGGGCACCCGCCCTGCAGCTCTCTGGTTGGGTGAGAGAAATGCAGGTGCCCCAAATGAAGGAATTTTGCTAAATTTGGGCCTAAAGGTTGGGACCTTTGGTAAGTCAAGAATTGACGTGAGATGCCTGGGGCCTGCTGCATTGGTCATTTTTTTATTCTTAAGCCTGGAGAAACTGAGATTGTGCATTTGTATTGACTGACTCAGTTTTGGCCTGGTTAGCAGCTTACTTAACTTAAGGGAAATGTTGCTTTAAGTGGCCTTGTTATTAAGTTCTGTGTTCCTAAGTAGCTCTGGGGTTCAAAGAGATTTTTTTGCCCCCAGCAGGTGCTTGCAGACAACAGACACACAGAGCGTCCTGCCAAGGAGCAGGTAGCAAAGTCCAGGGACTCCCATGTGGAGAAGTGACCTGTGCACCTCAGTTTGTGATAAGTGGTAATGAATGCATCAGAAAGGAGACACCTTATAGTCTAACTGAATTGTTGGAGCATAAGCTTTTGTGGGCAAAGACCCACTTCGTCAGATGCACGAAAGCTTATGCTCCAGCACTTCGGTTAGTCTATAAGGTGCCACGGGACTCCTCGTCACTTTTGCAGATTCAGACTAACATGGCTACCCCTCTGATACTCAGAAAAAAGAATAATTCAAAGATAGCCAGGACAGCAGAACCTCTGACAATTAAAAGTTCATGTGTGTGAGTTACACAAGATACTCACTGTTCATAACACATAAAGATGATTAGAACAGAACTGATCTGGCTGCGCGTAACATGTCAGACATCATAAGGGGCAGGTGGAGCATCACAGGAGAAATGCATCATGACCCATGTATGCCGTGGGAGAATGTAACTAGGCATGTTTGTTTCTGTATAGCTCTCATTTCTTACCTTAATAGCAATCGACACTACAAAGCATGGTTTTGTCACAAATAAGCAGGTGCTATTTTAACCCATAATTAAACAGAAGATTAAACTAATTATGAAACAATTGACCAGCACCATTCTCAGTTACACAGACTCAGATGTTCAACTCATGTTCCCTTCGAGAGTTCTTTCTAGATACCTTTGCATTTCCTCAGATTTTCCGATAACGAAGTAGTTATCTGGGAGAAAGCACTGACTTGCTCTTTCAGTTCAAGAGAAATCGCCTCTGGCTGCTGGAACTGCCCCTTCTCGCACCTGGAGAGAAACAATGTCACATGGTGACACAGCATTAAGTGACTTGGTTTTTAAGTTCTTGCTAGTTAGTTGCTGCTCTAATGGACCTGGAGTTAGAATCCCTCTAATTCCCCCATAGCTATCTGAGATTCCTCTCAAAAGCTCCCATTAATATTCTTCAGCTCTAGCCCCAATCTGGGAACAAAAAAAGAACTGAGTCTCCACGGCCAATTCACTCCTTGACCTTCAGGCTCTGAGGGTCAGGAGGTTCTCAGGTGAAGGGCTGTAGAAATCTGCCCACTCAGAAGTAGACTAAGACACCAGCTCCCCCCTCCCCAGTTCATTCCACAAAGGTCTCCAAACAGCCCTTGGCTAGGAAAGACTCTTGATCTCTGCTGCCCTAGGCTAAATGGTTCCCAGTGCCCAGCAGTGACAGGCCCATGTTCCATCCCAATGGTCCTGAGGCAGCCAGTCCCCAGGGAGGTGACAGCTCCAGGAAACACTTGAGATCAGACTGTGCCTCTGAATGGAGAATTCCAGAATCTTTTGTACAAGGGTGAGACCCTCAGGCTGCAGATGATCAGAGATTTGTGCCCAGGCTGTGACCTTCCCCACATATCTGGCTGTAGAGTCGTGGGGAGATGTGGTGCCAACATCAGCTCCAAGCCCTTTCCCTGCACTGTGCTGTGTGAGGGAAGCGAGAGACACCAGTGCTTTTAACATCCTGGAGGAGAGAGAGAGAGAAAAGAATCTCAGTCCCATCTGACGCACACACACAAGACCCCTGGGAAGAGATTTTGCAAACATAGGGAAGAGAGGCCCTGCCCTGGCCCCAGAGCCATGGATTCCCTGCGCGAATGGAGCTTTGCCATCTCTGATAGCTCTGTGCCCGTGACTCTGCAAAGCACAACAGTCACTCACATGTCAGCAGTGCACACGCCAAGTTACACCCAGATCAGACTGCTCAACCCAGTGCATGTGATTCAGGAGCCTCCCTTCCCTGTGTTTTGAGCTTGGGTGTTTCTAACCATGATGCCAGCTTCCAATTGTCCCCAGGGGTGTTCATCTCCAGGCCTGCCTCTTCTTGCCCTCACTCTGCCCTTCTATACCCCACCTCTTCCCCACTCTCTCTCTAATCCTTCCGCTCCCTCCCAGCACCTCCTGCACACCACACAACAGCTGATTGTGGCATGCAGGAGGTGCTGGAAGGAGGAGAAAGAGTTGATCGATGCCAGTTGCTGGAGAGAGAGAGGCACAGCTGGCACTCAGTGGATGTTAAGCACCTGGTAATTTTTTTTCCTATTGGTTCTCAAGTCCTGGATTCGGTGCCTGTGCTTCTGCTCAGTCTCACCTGCAGGAATTCACTTGCTGGCTTCTGACACTTCCCCTCCAGCTCACTGATCTGCTCGCTGAGATGGGAAATCTGCACCGAGACGTTCCTGACAGTGTCAGTCTGGATCCTCACAATCTCCTCATCCAGCTTCTCCAGCTGGGCTAGGAGGAGTCGCTCTTGTTCCTCCAGAAACTGTCGCAGCTGTTGAAATTCAGCCACAATCTTCTGCCTCTCCGCTTGTGTCTGTTTCTGTATGAAAACAGGGAAAGGGCTGGTCAGGGGCATGGATGGAGCCTGGGGCCCTTTCATGGAGAGCTGAATGCGCAGCAGGGAGAACTTGAAAAACCCCTCAGGTTTCTGGCATTTGACTCTGCCCTGTTATCTCTGAAAGGCATGTTTCCATGTCTGCCATGTTATTCCATTATTCGTGTGCGCTGGGAATTCAGACCCAGAGCAGCAGGAGGCAGGACTCAGCCCCAGCCTGACAGAGACACCAGGGGTGAAAACAGAAACAAATTTGTTAGTGCAGGAAATGAGCAGACACAGCAGACAGCCCTTCACAGGGGCATTCAGCTCCCTTGGGGAGAATTTCTAGGAAAGCTACAAGGGTTGGACAGGGCTGGACAGTAACTCATCCATCAACATGGAAGGTCAGGGCTTGTCTACACATGGATCTAACCCAGCAACCCATGATCATTGCAAAACTCACTCTCCCACCTTCACCACACAGGAGTCTGCCTCCAAAGAGCCCTCCCACTGCCAGTTCCTGCCAGTTCATAACCACAGGCACCTACCAGATACTCCTGGTTTCTGCCCTCTCCCGTCACTTTCCATTCCAGCAGCTTTTCTCTCTCTTCCCTCAGAGTCTTCAAATGGGCCTCAAATTTTTCCTGAAGAAACAGAAATGAACTGGGAGGTTTCCTTGGGAGGGCTGAGAAGGGTGTGGATAGGGGCATTTTTCCACCCAAACCTAAGTGATTGTTGGTCCCAATCGCTGTGTGACATCAGGGCCACAGAAAAGATGAATCCTTGCTAATGGAGACTGGGAGTGTGTCACAGTCTTACCTGCTACCAAGGCAGGTTGAGTCTTTTTAGTAATGAGAGAGAGATCTCAATTATCACTGAGTTTATTGGTCTTAACAAACTGATTAGTGGCACAGCGTGTGACAGGCCCTGACTCACACTGGGGGTGCATCCCATTTATGTTTGACAAGATTTAAATAACTAAGTGACACACATCCCAGAAGCCACCGGGGTTTAAATATGGGCTGGGAATTCAGCCTTGAGGCCTGGAGACTGTGCTGGATTTGACAGAGCTGGGCTAAGCACCAGGACAAACCCATGAGACACAGGAAGGCTCAGCTGGGCCTGGCCCCAGCACAAAGTGATGGGGGTGGGGTGGGAGCAGCTCTATAATCCCTGTAGGGATGGAGCCTTGAGTGGAAGGAGCAGGGAGCATCCAGCCCTCACTGCCCCCCAGAATGTGTTGTTATGGTAGTGGTGGCAGCTGGAGCCCTGAACTTTTTTGAATCCTTCCCCTCCCCCCCTAGTTTGCAGGGCTGCAGGTGCAATCTGTCTGGCTTTAAACTGCACAGTCCCAGTCCCAGTTTTGTGGGGCCCTGTCCCTGTCCAGTGGGGGGGCTCAGCCCTGGACATGGCTTTGTCTGGTGAAAAAGAGACAGGAGGAGACTGAGGATGCAGCAGGACACCTGTGAGGGTGAGGGCAGGAGGGGGTGGCACCTCCACCACAAATGATGTAGGTGGGGATGGTCTGTCAAAGGCAGAGACAAGCCCATAGAGGCCGACCAATGCCCATGGGGTGGGCCCAGGCAGGCAGTTATGGGGGTGTCCTTTGCTCTGGGGATGTGCTAATTAAACAGGCTGATTTCCATTAAGTATGGTTGGGATTTGCCCCAGTGCTGCCCTAAACCCTGTCAGCAGCAACTCCCTCTGGGCAGGTAGCCGCTGCCCTAGTCTCTGGTACAGCTCCCAGCAGCAGTGCATTCTGGGAGATTCCCAAAGGCTGCCTGGTGGGACTAACAGAACCATGTTTGCTGGTCCATGCCCACGTATCCACTGGCACCGGTCAGACTGGCACCGGGCAGCTACAGCCTGGGTGTAGTTTTGTTCCAATCCAGTCTGATCCCAGAGGTACCTAGCATGGACCTGCACTGCCTGGAGCCCTGTTGTGGGTGGACTCAGGGTGTCCAGGGTCCCAAACAGCATCCTACCCAGTGACCTCGTTTAGTGCTGGCCGCAGCATCTGAGTTTAACCCCTCATGGAGCAGCCTAGGAGTTCCTCTTCCCAGCAGGAAACCTCTTCTCGCTGTCAGGCCTGGTTCTGTTCCCTCACAGCCAGAGCATTTATTTTGTTACGGCATCTCCCATACCTGAAAGGCTTTACAGAGCTGACTGATGAGTCATACTGTGCTAGGTATGTTTCAGTGAAATTAGATTGTCATTAAAATCCATATTTTTGCCCATTACACTGGACAGCAATTCCCTACCTTGTACTGCTGGGCAGCTTCCTGTATGGGAAGCATAATGTGAGTGCGGTGAGCCTTGGACTCTCTGCAGACAACACAGATGAGGGTTTGATCCTCTTCACAGAATAATTTCAGAGCCTCCTGGTGCTCCCCGCACACCCCGTCCCATCTTGCTCTCTTTGCCACCTGTGAACTCAGCTGCTTGGCTATTTCTAGGACATTTGCCAGCTGCCTGTTGGGCCGGAGGTGTCTCTGCTGCACAGTTTCGTTGCACTGAGGGCAGGAGGAGGCTGAGTCAAGTCCCTTCCAGAACTGGCTGAGGCAGGCTTGGCAGAAATTGTGCCCACACTCCAGACTTACAGGGGCTGTGAAATAGTCCAAACATAGGGAACATGTTGCTTCCTCCCGGAGAGTTTCCATGGGACTGTCTGCAGCCATGGCTGCCTCTGGGCTAGGGAACAAAATCAGTTTAACTTCCCTGAGCTCAGGAATATGCCTCACCTGCTACAGCAATTGGGTGTTTCACTTCCTGGAGCTGACTCAGACTGTTTGCAGAGCAGGGAGGAGCCCACTGGCAACACAAGAGCCTTGGGACACCTAGAGATTCACTAATACATTTATTTGGGGGCATCAGCTTTCATGGGCAGTCCAAGGAAGCTTAGGCCCAAATACATTTGTTAGACTTTTAGGAGCCATAGAACTCCTCCTTGTTTTGGCTGAAACAGACTAACAGGGCTTCCCTCTTCCCACTCTGAAACTGGAGCCCTGGAGGCTTTGCGGGAAAATGTGCCTTTAGGGCCATTTTGTGGGTGTGAAGAGTCATTGTCAGGAGTGTCTGGTATCTGCAGGTGGAGCAGTTGCAGGGAGGGTATGGGAGCCCCCATTTAGCAATTAATTTTTTGTGGGGTACAGAGCACAATCTTTTCCATCCTCTCTAATCTTTTCTATCCACATGCAGATTTTTTTCATCCATGTGCGCAGTGGCAGATTTACAGTTAATGGCGTCCCATGCTCAGCTTCATTTTTAGGGGCCCCCTGAGGACCTAGCCAAGAAAAAGAATATTCAATCTTCCTGCCCCTCCTATTTTTCATTCTTTTTTCTTCATCCTCCTACTCTTATAAGAAATAAGAAGTAAATTAAAAATGAAGTGAGATACCTTAATTGTTTTTGTAGTCTTTTTTCATAGACCACTTAAAATTGCTGAGCGTCTTGCTGGACCAGTTAATGAGCTTTCCTAATATTGTTTGAATCATGAGCTAACTATTGAAAAGTACTTTGGATAAGAATCCTTTATAAAAAAAAAGTATAATAGCCATTCCTCAGTCCACCTGAATGTTGTTCTCAGAGTACAGTGTGGGAACTTCTGGTCTAGGTAAAAGCTTGTATTTGCATTAAGCTAACTTGAAAAATGTGTAAAAATAAAATGTATAGATGACACATGAATGGAAAAATAAAAGCTAACTTCCTCTGAAGAAACTTACTCATTTTGAAAAAAAAATTATTTGGGTAACTTTCTTTCTACATATTTTCTTTGCAAAATTGTCAGTTAAGTAGTCATGATTATTTTGTAAAGAGATACTTTCGATTGTCAATATAGCTGAACTGATTCATCATATTTCACAAATAAATAAAACTCATTTCAATACAGAAAAAGAATCTTCACCAGAATCATTTGTGACAAGTATTGTTAAACATATTTTCAGAATGGTTTCTACAATTGAAAAGGTTGCCTGCAAACCATCATATACAAATCAGCTGATGATCTTGAAGCCCAGAGTTCATAACTTTTGATAAATTAAACAAAAGAAATGTTTCACTTCGTCTTCAAAAAGATTTGTGTCTATGTCCTGTCAGTAGAATTTGCTTAATTTCTCACTATAGTGGCTTTTAGTATCTTCGTCCATACTTCTGTCAAAAGACATTCAAAATAAATCAACAGGTTTTTTTTAGAGATTCACCTCTGCTCTGCTATTGCACTATTATTGTCACAAATAACATTAATGGTCTCAACGATGAACTTCTCTTTCCTTTTAAATTGATTTCATTGTCTCTACTTTCATTGAAAAATAATTTCCTAGGTTTTTTATACTTCTCATCAGATATATAGGAGGAACCAATATTTTCTGTTAATGTTAGTGCCCCTGCTTCAGTGGACTTATAGTCATTTTGAACTTCCATGACAAAACTTGTAACTGAAGCTAACAAGTGTGTACCATTCAATAAATGTGTATAAACTTTTTGTAGTAATTTGCTGATGGCATTAATACTTTGAAGTAAATGGTTCCATAAAATAGTAAAACAGTAATATCATACTTTTCAAACTTGTCTGCTAAGGTTTTTGTTTCAGTTTTTGCATGTGGTTTTTCAGAATTTGATGCGGCTATGTCTAATAAGGTTCTCTTTATAACATCACAGCTCATTTTTGAAGTCAAAACAGCATCTGCACAAACAGACTACTTGGTGTCACAAATTCTTTTGACTGTCAAATCTTTTCCATTTCCTGTTCCAAGCGTGATTGTGACATGCTCCACCAATGTGTGGAAGCTGGAAAAAAAAGTGTGGTTTGAACAAAGTCAAAAAAATGTGTAGCTCCCTCACAAGATGCAGCTGCAGCATTGCAGATTAAATTTAAGGAACGGTTGGAACACGGTATGAATAAAGCAGAGGGATTTGCATTGTTCAGTCTTGCTTCTAGACCTGAATATTTTCCTGCCGTATTTGCAGTGTTATCAAAGCTCTGCCCATGACAATTTCTGATGTCCAAACCTAAATTTGCAATGATTTCCAAAACTGTTGTCTCTAGACATTCAGAAGTGTGGGATTTTAGTGGGACAAAAGAAATGGCTCTACAACTTAAATATTTCCAGTCACATATCTTAAAATTAATGTTAAGGTCTACATATAGTACTTGGCATCCTTTATTTCATCAGTGTATTGGTTTCTGAGCTGCTCTGCCATTATACTAATGAATTCACTGTAGGTTTGGTGCAATAAAAAGCTGGTCTTTCCTTAGCCAGTATACTGATAATTTTTCAAATTTCATTGACAAAAAGGTCAAGTTCACTAAGACATTCAAGGCAAGTTAAAAAATTACCTTTTCAATGTCACACTGATGACTCATCATAGCCTTTAAAAACAACAAATAGTCTGGTAGCTATTTAAAGACTAACAAAACATGTATATGGTATCATGAGTTTTTGTGGGCACAGCCCACTTCTTCACATGACCCCTGATCCCCCTGATCATAGCCTATTAGAGGTAGTCCCAAAGAAGATAACAGTTTCACCATGACAACAGCACATCTCAGCACTTTCTTCCAAGAACACTCCTTCTCAAACTCAGACAATAATGCAGAATCAGTTCTTCCAGATAATTTACATCTTTGAAGAAACTTACATGTGACATTAATATGAGCTTGATAAGTTTAATGATCTCTTGCAACATTTCTCCAGTTACAGTGCCTGTCAAAAATGTTTGCAAATTATTCCCTGGCAATAGTAATGGAAAACAAACATAACAGTAAACTGCCTTAGTGGCTTCTGAAAAAAAATCAACCAATTTCTCATTTCCGTGGTCCCATTTTTCTTCATCCTCAGAAAATGGGACTCATGAAGACCTGTAAATTGCTTTTGTCCTCCAACTTCATGATCTTGTCTCAAATTCTCCATATTACCTATGTGTTTTGGTTTATTTACTAAGAAATATTCCATCATAGCCACTGAAATAAATGTTGGCTGTAAAGCAAGGTCTTCAGGATAGGTTTCTTCCCTTACTTGGACAAAATTACCAATATTTTGTAGTTTCACTGTCACTTCAGATTTCATTTGTTCAACTTTCGTAGTCACTGTAGTATTCCCCCAACTTGGCAAGTGATCAGCTAATTGAGATGTTTCCTCACCCATACTTTTTGATGAATGTCCTCTATTCAATACTTCAAGATAAGATAAGATGGCAAACTATCTTTTTTGGTTAGCTTTGTCTTGCCTTCATTTGTGTGTGTGTGTGTGACTGCCAGACTCATAGTATCACTTCATTAATGCTAAAAAACTGAACTTGGTTTTTAGGCAGATTTAACATGGCTGAAAGAGCAGAGATGTAGCTCCGAAGGGTCTGGACCACCCACTGCCTGATTAGGTTTAACACCAGTGGTGCTGGAATATTTGTAATAGTGGGATGCTGAAAGACAGACCCTGTCTCTCCTGGGCGCAGGTCCAGACCTGGGTGTGGGCCACAGGCACAAGAATTCAGACAGGGCTGTTGACAGAATAGCTAGGCCTCTGGGCAAGGTGTGGGATGGGCAGGTCTGGGCCCGCCCAAGGGTAAGGCCTCAGATGGAAGGAGTGGAGCTGGGGGCCCAGAGTAGGAACAGAACCATGGTGGGGCTGGAGAAGAAGAGTGACAGAGGTAATACAAAGATCTCTATGGCCACAGAGAACAGTTTCAGGTGCCTCAGTGGCCATGTGCTGATTGGCCCAGAGAAGTAGGCAGAGACCCACATGTGCTCTACCTGAAGATGGCTGAGACCACTTCTATTTGTCACCTGAGTGCCCTCCCACCCTGGGTTTTCCATCCCCTGCTGCCCTCCCCCTCACCCACAGGCAGCCATGGCTGGCTGCCCTCCCCATCCCGCAGGCAGCCACCACTCACCAGGTGGTGACCAGCAGCATGAACACAGGCTGGAAGGTATCAGAGGAGCACTGGGTAGCTGCACAGTCAGTGGCCAGAGAGAAGCTGCAGCCTGCAGGTGAGCCTCCCTGCTCTTCTGCCCCTCACATAGCCCCCTCTGCGAGGATGGGGTGCCAGATCCAGTTTTGTAGATATCTGCAAATTCTGATCTGTTACATGTACTGTGCATGTACTGAAACCATGCAAAACAACCCATGACCTCTTAACATTAATTACCATAATGAATATGCAAATCTGCAAATAAAATGTTGCTGGTCTGCCAAAAGTTTTTTAATGGATTTGCCGGTCTGTGGTATAAAAAAGATTGGGAATCACCCCCTTAAATGACACTAGTGGGATTTGAACCCACAACCTTTAAATGACTGGCTTGGCTCACACTAACCACCACAGCTTAGAAGTCCAACACTTTCCATTGCACCATGGAGCCCCATATGCTGCATGCCCCACATCTCCTCTGTCTTCTTTGCAGCACAGCAATTGCTGGGGGAAAAGAAAAGGAAGAGCTGAGCCAAAATCAGCTGGGAATTGAACCAATGCTTGGAAGGCAGCCATGTTAACCACTAAATCACCAATGCTGCCCCTACAGGCCTTCCCCCACCTAGGAATACGGGTCACCTAGTACCTGTCTGTGCCTACAGTGCAGCCAAAGTGACTCTGGTGCCGTTCAGTGTCTCCTCTGCTGGAGTTTCACTTTCCCTAGGAGGCCAGACAGGCAGTGTCACCAGAGGGGCTCTGGCAGCTGCCCCAAGCAC